AGTGCTTGTAACTCTAGTGATTAAGAGTAATATTTTACTCATGCACCCGAGGCTTAGGTTCAATTCCCCCTCCTCTTGTATTTAAAGAAAAGAAAAGAAAAGGCAAACATTATAGTGATGGTTGCTGCTGAATGGTAAATTGACCGCAAAGTAATAAAGCTGCTAAACATCAGGTGTTGTTTTTAGCCTGCAAACCTCCTCGTATTGAAGGGATAAAGTTGACTGTTTGATTGTCTCTCAGCTAACTTGGCGCAGGCCCAGGTGATTGAGGGTGAAGTGTGGGGCTAGTACTTGTGTGAATCTAATGCAAATGGAAAGGAAGTTGGTTTCCATTATTTAGCTATTCATATCATTGGAGCCATATGCTTTTTCTGGGATCCTAAATAAACAATTTACACTAAAAAATTCAAATCCAAATCCCTCATTTTGTATAACCCATGTAGGTTATTATCTCCACGTTCAAGAAAGATTCATTTAGATGGGAAAATAAACAATTTACACTAAAAAATTCAAATCCAAATCCCTCATTTTGTATAACCCATGTAGGTTATTATCTCCACGTTCAAGAAAGATTCATTTAGATGGGATTTAGAACCTAAGTTTCTTAAACTTCTGTTTTTTGTTTTGCTTTGTTTTTGTTTTTTTAAATACATGGTAGGGAAAGGAGATTCGAACACAGGACTTCAAGTGCAAGGGTAATTGTTCTTAACCCTGTTAGCAATTGAACCAAAGAGGCATAAGAAACCTGCACGGTCATCACGGAAACTGTCTCTGTTGACTAATTCCATTTCACGCCATCTCTTTCTTCCATTCTGAATTAATCCACATCTCCCTGCAAAACCCAGCCGCATTCTGTTACTAGACAGCACAACTTCCTCAGTTGTTTTTGTTCTCATCCTGAATTGATCCAATTATCAATGCAAACAAGCCCTCCACCTTCGAAAAAAGACCATAATTTATTTAATGTAAATGTTTCCTTCTACACAGATGACTTTTAAATCACCAAAGCAACATCATTGTTCTGATCCGACAAGTATTGTGGGCAACAAAAGTGAGCTAATGGCAAACACTGTAAGCATATGCTCAACACCCATGGGGCTAAAATGACAAGACATTAAATATCCGTTTAATCTAAGACTCAATGAAACAGCTAGAAAATGATAAAACCCATCTCTGAAACTCAAGTTCCACAAATGAGATCGGGACAACAATTTGATTAAACAAAACAAGAACAAAATTATAGTGAAATCTCTGCATATGACAAGTAACAACGAAACAGTCCGATCTCCCAAACTCATAGCAAAGGCTTCAAATGTCAGAAGTATTATTCCAATATATTCATTATTGTCATGGTGATTAAAACAAATAAATA